AGTGATGCAAATGCAGTACCCATTTGTGAAGTTCTCGAAAACTAAAACAAAATAAACCGTCCTAGCCTCCATCCCACCAGTTCTATTTTGACAGCACCTCTTCTAGGAACCCATCCAAAAATAAGTGAAAACGTTTGTGCACAATGGTGTTCAGCCTGGCATTATTTAAAGGAAGGCATTTTAAAAGGCGGTTTCAAAGTTAAGAAATAGGACAGCAGTTTAAGTAAATCTATTTGGTAGGTTTTTATGCAACTTGAAAATTACATTTATCAAAGCTGTAGTAATGTGGAAAAGGCATACACTTCTAGGCAATAAAATCATAAAAGAACATTTTACCTGCCTAAGAATCACAACAACATAGAGCCTGTGAGATGGCCCAGAGGGTAAACGCACTTGTCACCACGCTGGACAACTTGACTTTTATAACAAGATCCCACAAGGTACAAGGTGAGAATCAATCTCTGCAAGTTGTCCTGTGACCCTCACACATGTTCTGTGGCACAAATATGCTCTCATCCTCAACACACACTAAGTAAACAAAGATTAAAAATGAAACTTTTAAAAAGGCTTTAAAATATATGTGCCAGCATTCATACAACAAGGACATCTGTTCAACGATATTCATAGCAGCACTATTTGTAATGGCCAGAAACTGGAAACAGCCTAGATGCCCCTCAACCGAAGAATGGATAGAGAAAATGTGGTACATTTACACAATGGAGTACTACTCAGCAGAAAAAAAACAATGGAATCTTGAAATTTGCAGGAAAATGGATGGAACTAGAAGAAATCATTCTGAGCAAGGTAATCTAATCACAAAAGACAAACGTGATATGTACTCACTCATATGTGGATTTTAGACATAGAGTAAAGGATTACCAGCCTACAATCCACACTGCCAGAGAAACTAGTAAACAAGGAGGACCCTAAAAGAGACAAACATTGTCCCCTGGAGAAGGGGAAAGGGTCATGATCCCCTGAGCAAATGGAGAGCAGGGGAAGAGGGGGGAGGGAGCTACGAGAATGAGAAGGGAAGAAGAGGAAGGATGCAGAGGTCATGAGGAAGCAGAAAGGTTGAGTCAGGTGTAGATTAGAAGAAAGGATATGTGATAGGTAGGGTTTTAGTTGGGGGGTGGTAGGGGAGGAAGGGAGGGAGAAGGGAACTGGGATTGTCATGTAATTCAAAGCAATATATATGTTGACAATAGTTAAATAGCATAAAGGGTGTTTTAGATAATAATTTATCTCTAATTTTCAAAAAGTGACCTTTCCCTACTGTACTCATTCTATTTAACTTAGTTTAGTTAGTTAAGGGGGTTTTTGGTTTGTTGGTTTTTTTGCCTCACCAACAAGGTCTACAAGATCTTTGCTGAATGAAGGTTTCACATTCACAATGTAAGACTTTCTACGATTCCAATCTGACTGGCATCCATTCTCCATGCATGCTTCGCCTCAGCTGAATCCCATCTGCTCATGAACAGCCATCAAAACTCCCTTTCAGAGAAGTGGTTGCCATCATAGGCTTACAGGAGTAAATATATTGCTTCTCCAATCTTCGGCTATTTCTTTTTACCATGGAGGGGAAGACTGTCCACTGCAGACACTCCTACCTACTCCTAAACAGGTGAGAGGGGATGCAAGGATGATCCTAAGAGATTGCAGATGGGTTGATTTGGAATTGACTAAGACACACAGTGCAGGGCAGGCATCTCCTACAAGGATTAACTGAGGAAGGGAGAAAGTCCCTCCCACAGGGTCTGCAGCATCCTTTAAAAACAGCCCATATAAGAAAGAGATCTGAGGGGAAAGGGGGCTGGGTTTTTTGGAGGTTTTTTTTGTTTTTTTTTTTTTTTTTAATCTGCTTACCTTGCTCCTGGGGCCACTGCTTTATTGCTGTGGCTGTCATCTTCCCCTGACACCAGAACCCAGACTCATTGGTCTTCCCGTGAGAACAAAAGGCCAGTGACTCTCCAAAATCAGGCTTTTGGCATCAGATTGTGACTGCCAAAACTGAGGCTGTCAAACAGCTCCTGGATTCTCAGCCTTCCTCCAATGTGAAGACAGCCATTGTTGGATGGCCCAGATTACACATATCATGTAAGCCAATCTAAAATCTCTTTTTAATATATAATCATCCTGTTGGTTTCTCTAGAGAACCCTGACTTGTACAGCATGGTTTTTATTCTTGTGCAAAATTATACTTGAACACGCATGCATGCACACACACACACACACACACACACACACACACACACACACACACACTCCACTCAGAGCTATTTAGGGGAGGAAAGGAACCATAAGAATTTAGGAAGAGGAAATGGAGAGAACCTTGTGGGGCACTAATAAGGGCAAGCTACAATACAAGTTGTGGTGGTTTGAATAAGAACAGCCCCCATAGACTCATATATTCGAGTGGTTGGTCATTAGGAAAAGTCATTACTTGACAATGATTAGAAGGTGTGGCCTTGTTGAAATAGGTGTCGCCTTATTGGAGGAATGTGTCACTGGGGGTAGGTTTGGGGGCCAGTGTTTCAAGCCAGGCTCAGTGTTTCTCTCTTCCTGCTGCCTGCCAATGAGGATGTAGAAGTCTACTCTACTTCTCTAGCACCAAGTCTGCCTGAGTGCTGACATGCTTTCCACCATGATAATAATGGACTAAACGTCCAAATGTAAGCAAGCCCCCACTTAAATGCCACAGTCATGGCATCACTTCACAGCAATAGAACCCTGACCAAGACACATATATATATATAATGCCATAATGACACCCTTATTGTTATCATTAACTGAAAAAATAGTAAAACAATAAAGAAAAAATCCTTACTTAAAACAGGTGCTTAGATGCAATATTTTGATTTATAAATAAGCAACAACAGCAAAAAAAAACAAACCACCATCTGTAGAATTTGACCTGCAATATTTCCAAACAAAACACCAAAGACTATACCAGTTCTTTCAGTAAGTTTGAAACAGCAATAAAAACTTCGGGCTGTGGAGCTGCCTGGGCTTAAATTTTGTCTTTTGCATATACAAGCAGAACAAGATTTAACAAAGACATACTCCTTCTGTCAATTTTGTTTTGTTTTGTTTTTCATTCTGAACCTGGAATTACTACATGTCACTTACAGCCTTTGATAAGTCACTGATAAAATGTAACTCACATTATTTTAAGTCTCGCTCAAAACCACATATATCGTATGATGCACGCCTATATGACAGTCATCTGTGCTCTTCCCCAAGTAACATCATGTCAACCTGAACATTTATCAGCATAGCTTCTAGCCAAGCCAATCCAGGGGGTACAAAGATCCCCCCACGCCACCACATTCCCTCACAGCTGTTCTTCTTTGGGTCACTGATGGGCTAGAGAATAGTGGACAAATAAACAAAAAGATTAAATCCTTCCCCCAGATAAATTAAATAAAAAAAACTTATGGGAGATGTTCTTCTGTATATATGCCTCTCTTATTGGTTGATGAATAAAACACTGATTGGCCAATAGCCAGACAGGAAATATAGGTGAGGCTATGAGAAGAGGAGAATTCTGGGGAAGGAAGGCAGAGAGAGGCCAAAAAGAAACACCATGTAGCCACCAAAGGAGTTAACAGGTCCTGGCATTCTCTGGTAAGCCAAGACCACGTGAAAATACATAGATTAATAGTTATGGGTTAATAATTAAGAGAGAAGTAGCCAGTAAGAAGTCCTAGCCATCAGACAAAAGTTTTATAATTAAAATAGCATCTGTGTGTTTATTTGGGGCAATGTGGCTGTGGAACTAGGCTCGAAAGAAACTCAAACAACAAAATAGTAAGTCATCTCTTGGCAAATTGGAAATCACCACTCTTAAAGACTAATTTATAGCAATACCATTTCATTCACACCACTACCCAAGGAGCCACTGGACTCTATTAGGGTTTTTCATGGCTCACTTCCTTCCAACATAACTTAAAGAACACAATAGCCCACAGCTCCTTCCTTCTTCCCCCAACATCCACTATCCCAGTGACTCTCTCCACTTCCAGATCTTCTCGGGATTTACACAGAGAGGGGGGGGGGGCTTCTCTTTCCCTAGTCCCTGACAACTCAGATTAAGGTTATATAATCCAAAATAGCACCCCAGTGCCACAGACTTGTAATGATTGCTCTGGGCCTTGAGGCTGGATTCTATCACTGTCAGTGTGTTGCCACATGGCTCTCAGACACCTGGTTCTGAGATCCACAGCACCCCTTACAATCTGTGCCATCCTTCCCTGTGATGTGACCCAGGTCAGCCTCTCTCTTGCCATCCTGTTCACAGCTTCTTCAGAAGACTGGCCTCTACTAGTAGCTCATTATAACCAACATTCCTGGACCCCAGCCCAGCTCTCAGGTTCAGAGCTTGCACTTAAACTGTGGGCCAGGGTCCAGAGATTTCACAGGACTAGTTTGCTCATGCCAGTCACCCTGAACTCCTCTCTCAATCTAGAAAATCCTTATGCCCTGTTCCAAACCCATCTGAGTGGTTACTTCTCTCTCAACTTCCCAAACTTGTTCCCTCAGAACAAGGAGCCTCCCTCCTATCACTCCTAGGAGTATAGTTACTAACATTTATGGTTATATAATAATTAATGGATTATGCCTTGGCTCTTTGGAACCAGTTTTTCCAGCATCCATCTTATTGCCCCAGCCCAGCCTGGGTCCTGGATGCAGGTGTGTTTCTGACCTGTTAACATTTTCTCCATAATTTGGTATAGGACAGGGTGTGTTATAGTTATCTCCCAGTAATTATCATAAACATCCTGAAAATTTCAAGCTCACAAATTGTCAAAATATCACAGTATCAAAACAGCCATATTAAAACATCATGAGATAAACAGAAACATGATTCTATTTAAAATTTTCTGGAACTTTCTATCTTTTTGGAATAAACCAGCTCAAATAGGAAATGTTTTGGTTTTGTTTTTAAACTGAACAGACAACCCAGCCAGGTTTCTGTCAGTCTCTGTGGGCAAGCCTACCTCAAACCACTGCCCATGAGACTGCATCTTGAGGATGACGCAGGGGTCCGGCTTGGACAGAGCATCTCTGTCAGAAATGCCTTTGCATGCCACACGAAGCTCAACTTTGGTCAAACAGGGACTGTTAAAGATCCCCAGCGTGTTGGCCGCTGACTCATAGATGTTACTCATCTTCTTCATTCTGCGTTAGGGAAATGAAAAGAAAAAATGTGACGGGCCATTCATTGCAATATTTTTCAAAGGTGGAAGCCATCCTCTCCCCACAACAGATCTCCATTTGGGAAACTGTTTAGCACACAGACTGGAATGCTTAAAGTCTTCATTATCTCACTGTCCAACTGACTAGCAGTTTCAGTGAAGCAGTTAACAAACAGCCCCTCCCACCTGCACCAAAATAAAGCTTCCCAAACAGATGCTGACACACTTGGCTATGATCACCATTTTCCCATTTGATTTGTACAGCAAAAATTTTAATCCATGAGATAAAATTTTTATTATTTTGTGAAATTAGTGAAATAGACTGCAAACTGCAATCCAGATTTATAGTAAGTATAAGCTTTATGTTGTTTTTTTTTTTTTTACTGATCTCTTGGTTCATCGATTTTATCATGTCTAATTTATTATTTTTATTTATTATCCTAATGAGTTATGTGCGTCTGTGAGTACAGGTTCATGTTCACCATGCACCATGTGTAGAGGGCAGAGAACAACTTTGTGGAGCTGATTCTCTCCTATCTATATAGGTTCCAGGAATAGAATACAGATTAGCAGGCTTACACAGCAAAAACATTACCCACTGAGCCATCTCGATGGTCCCCCCATTTTTTTAATAATTTCCTAAAACTCCAACTCTCCTCCTATGTAATGAAGCATATAAGTCTATTGTCTTGTCTCTGAAAGTAATCCAATTTCTTACCTCTAAACTCTGGCTCCATTTCCCAAGATGCCCTTGGCAAGCCAGCATCCAAGGAAACCTCAGTATGGGCTATTCTATATCAAGTGTCTAAGTCCACTCTCTCCCTGCCTTCTACACTCCCAGTTGTTACATCGGAGCTTAAAATTAAAATGAGAAAATGAGGAGACAAATAAAATAAAATAAAAAACCCCACAAACTCCTGATTGTGAACTCCTGGAAACATCAGACATGGGTCTGCACAACAGGTCCCAGCCCATTTCAACTTGATGCCTTTCACAGTAAAATTGTGCATAGCTAATACACGTGCTACCCAAGCGTTGCTCAGGCAGGGGTTACCCACATGCTCCTCCTCTGAGTCAGGCAAGCCTATGAAGATGCTGGAAGATGATCTCAGGATTATAATCCTCCCAGCATGCTCTATGCTTCTGGATTCAACAGGGAGACCAGCAACGGCTCCATAATCTTCATGTGGATTTTCTGTCTGACAGCAAAATCTCTCCTGTAAAATGGGGGCAATTCTTCTCTGTCTCTTTCCCTTCCACAAGTATTTAGTTTCACCCAATTGCTGTCACCATACTAGTTCAAATGAACACAACGCGCCACCTTCCGCAGGGTGGTGGCTGTACCTTGGCCTTAAACACACATGTGTGTGCACACAAAGACACTGATGCCGAGACATGGGCACACAAATCCACACCAGTAAAGTTTGAATGAGATGCAGACCCATACACATATGCATTTAATTATTATCTGTGGTTGGTCTTTCCCCAGTGGCTGAACTGAGTAGCCAGCACAGAGATTGCAGAGCCAACAAAGCCTGAAATATTTACTATGTAGTCAGTAAATATGTGCCAACTCCTCTCTAAAATGTCAGGTTAAGGTGCACTAGTGATTGAGGAGAACTACCATCCTATTTTTTTACAAAAGTGTTATGGAATTAGTTCAAGAATGAGAGCGATGCTGCTTTCTACCAACTGAATATTAATAGAGTTGGGGGGTATTTGTTTTTTACATATTAGAAAATTTAAGCTCAGAGAGGATTGGCTGCTTTCCCAGGTCACATAATTATTCTAATGGCAGCGCTGAAGCTTCGTTGCTGGCTTTCTCTCTCCCAGACCACAACATGCAAAATCTTCAGTGTAGAAACACCCAAATCTACCAAGGCATGGTGGGAATGACCAATATTCTCGACTTGTGTCAGCCTCCACAATAATTGTTATTAAAATATAGGAAACAAGAAGGTTGTAAATCCATGGCTTAATAGATTACAGTCCCTGTATTTGTGCAAGTTGTGAGCAATGTAAGAGACAAAGTATGCCTGAAATGAAGTCCCTGCCAAAGCACAGGAAGGAGAGAATTGACTAGGATGAAGGTGGCATGTGGAGAGACAGGCTAGGGAGTGTGAAGTGGACTTTGCTTTTAATAAGTCAGTGTCGTCTGATGATACTCATAGGTTCTTGGAATCACAGTGTTCTTCTGTCATTCTGGTAGCCTCTCCTCTCTCTGGGAGCCAGCCCCACTGTCTCTTCATAGGCTCACATGCATCCTTTTCCAGATACACAGTCTACATAAAGAATAGCAATCCTTTCCTAGAGAGTGGAGCATCTTTTCCAATGCCAGTCTCTTATTTAAGATTTATTTGTGTTTATTTTATGGGTATGAGTCTTTTGCCTGCATTCATGTAACTCTCTGTATGCCTAGTGCTCATGGGGACCAAAAGAAGCTCTAGGTCTCCTGGAACTAGAGTTAGGGACAGATGTGAGTTGCCATGTAGGTGCTAGGAACCAAACTCGGGTCCTCTGAAAGAGCAGCAAATGCTCTTAAACCCTGGGGTCATCCTTCTATATCCTCTAATGCCTGTCTTAATGGTGATGCATAACACAAGAGTCTCTGTCAGAGAGAAAAGTACTTCTAGGTGTGACTTCTTAAATCCTAGCTCCTCCACTCACTATGAAACATTGAATAGGGCCCCCAAACTGACTGATAGTAGCACCCACCACAAAAAGCTGCTGAGAAGAATATACGAAATAATGTGTGTCAAGTGGTTTGTACAATGTTAAGCACATAAGTAAATGCTATCACACTGGTGGCTATTATTCCCATTGTCTGGCTTATCGCAAGATAAAAATCATTCTACTGCCAGCTAGACACCTCTGGGATTTCTCCATATTACTTTAAAAGCAAAGTTCAAACTCACTCCTGTCAAGTCCTTCTGCCTTTAAAGCCCACTTCTTCTAAATGCTTGCAGCCACTTCTCAAACCAGCAGTACACCAGGGAAGCCACATGCATGAGCTGTTACTTCTCACAGGTTCCCAAAGCAGGGAGAAAACAGTGTTGTCTGCTCTGCTAATTTTGTGGAGCTGCATCCTCAGCCTCTCAGGATGGGCTGTTTATCCTTCCATCAGTGTTCTTTCTATAGCAGCATCTGGCTCCCTGGGCATCTCATGCTCAATACAAGACATCTCTTGGTCCTTATGACAGATGGCTATGTGCCCTGTATGCTGAATGAGGGATCTGGTGGGAACTGTCTGAGTTCTACAGTGCATATGGCCCCAAGGTCTCACCTTCCAAAATTTTCCTATTTGCATATTACCATACTGTTTTTTTTTCCCATATGGACCTTGTCCAATGGGCTTCAAGTGGTAACATATAGTTTCAACAACCCAATCTCCATAAATGCAAAAGAAACCTCTGATTGTGATACAGTCAGGCAGATAAGAAACCACATGGGTTGTCAGAGGTGACACACATCCCTGATCCTGGTATGAAGTTCCCATCAGTCTTATCACCTATTCTAAAATAGTAGCAACCTAGTCATATGTGCCAAAAGTTGTCCAAAATAACTGAAAATTATCACGGTTTCTTCAAGATAATTAATGGTGATTGTGTAATAGTTTCTCCAAAATTGATACCTTCCATCTTCCAGAAAAGTTCATTCAGACAGGAAAGAAACAGCCAAAAATAGCTTCAGGAAGTCCCTAAAACAGATGAAATTCACTAGGCTCCTCCCTCCCAATAATAAATAGATAGAAAATATTGCTGCAAGTCACTCTCAGATAAGACAAACTGAAAAGGAAGCAAAACTGCCTCAAAGAAACAAATACTATTTGAATTGCCTGGAAGAGGCTCACGCCAACTGAGCCACCTGGAAATGATACTCTCCAACACATTGAGCTGTCTGCAGGCTGTGCTCTGGTTCCCAGGTTTTGTAAGCTGTTACCATGCTAGAGTGGGCCTTGGTAAGACAGCTGACTTTGAATCACGTCTGCTCCTATAAGTAATCCCTTATCCATGTTCCTATAAGTAACCCCTATAAAACTCATTGATCCACCAACTTGGACTTTGGTCTCTATTGGGCTCCCTACCTGGGATAAGACTTATGTGTTGCATTTCCCCAGGTAATGTTATACAACATGGTATATCTTAAGAGTTTATTAATCATTTCATTTAAGTGGTGTCTCATGCAGGCCAATCTGGCCTCGAACTCTCTATTTAGCCATGGATGACACTGAACTCCTTATATCCTCCTGCTTCTACCAAAGTGCTGTGTTTACCACCATGAATGGAACCCAGGGCTCCATGAACGCTATGAAAACACTTCATCAATTTAGCTACAACCCCAAGCCCAACAATAGTGAATTTAAGCAGTTTTAAATGAATAAACCTGATTGTACATGGCTGAAGATTTTTTTTATTAATATCTAAATCAGAGTTTCATGGATCACATTTTTCAGCAACAGAAATTATCTGGATGATGTGGAACTAGGCAGTAGATGGCAGGATTTATACCCCAAAGATCAGTCTGGGACCAATGATGGCTGTACTGTAGAAGAGAAAGACCATGTTATCCCCCTTCCTTATGCTCAGGGTCCTAAAAGACTGACTTGTTGCTAACACTGCAAACTAAGTTCAAACTTCATGCAACCATAGTAGAAATTTAGTTCAAACTAAGGAACACAGTTCCTATCAGGCAACTCTCCAAGGCCTTGGCTCTCACTGTCATTATTCCCTTTGCTCTTTTAGGTTCATGAGTTAGGAATGGTTTCTTATCAATCTTAAGGTCTGAATCAATAGAAACACGATAGGGAACAGAAATGCATGTGCACTTGGTAAATCAAGCAGAGAAGAGAGAGTAAGCATTTTCCAGAATAAGGGAAGTTATGAGCCACTAGAAGCAACATTTAGTACTTCAGGGGCTGGGTATACTAACTGGACAAAGAGATTCAAGCACAGTATCCACAGAGTCTATTTCACCACAGAGGT